TTTTTTTTTTTTTTTTTTTGAACAGCATAAGGTCAATGCTTATTGTATATGATGGATCTAGGTATATTCCACAAACATTTTCAAAGAGAAAAACTATTCTCTTAAATTGTGTGGATGTGTTAACTATATTATAAATACTATATTTGTAATCATCCTTCATATGGATATGATAAATATTCAAAATCCATATATTTAATTAAAAAAATAATTGGTATATTGTCCAATTCAACACCTCTATCAACACTTACCAATTCAACCATTAAAATCTATAATTTTAAATTTTCACACCTTTAGTTCCACTTTAAAAATAATAATTTCTTAATTAGTGTGTTATGAGATGTGTTGAATCAGAAGGAGTATCAATCATTGTCCATCCAATTTTGAGTGCTTAAGATATATTAAGCACATAACATTTGTCTATTGAAGCTAACAAAATACGTTTTTCCCTGTTTCTCTTTCTTTCTTCATCTTCGCCCTCTATCTCTCCTATTTCACATGCCTCTTTCCTTCATCTTATTCCTTACTAAAGCGTTTGTCAAGAATGCACAATGCCTTTCATCAGATCTAGGTCCAATTTTCATCTTCATCATCCTTTTTGATTTTCCTCTTTCTTTTTTTATCTCCTCCCTCATCCTCTTCTTTTTCGTTTTTCTCTTTTTGTTAAGAACCCACCCAAAAGAACTTGATCTAGATTCAAAACCTAGGGGGTTTCTCAATTGCAATACCCAATGATTACTTTAGATTTAAATAAATTATTTAACCTCTTAGAGGGTGTATATGTGATAGGATTAAATATGGGGTTTAATTATAATGAGGTGAGGAGTTCAGGGACTAAGTTGTAAAAATTCCCTAGGACTAACTAAGTTGAAAAAATATCATAAGGACTAAGTGGTAATATTTCCTTTTGTGAAAACCCAAAGCAGAATAGTCAGCAGTTTCATTTTTTTTTTTCTTTTTCTTTTTCTTTTTCGGGGAAATTAAGAACGTCTTCTTCCTCTTGCCAGTAAGGGGAACCCGCTCGAAGGATCTAGCTAAACCAAGGACAATCAAAGGTAATTTGTTTCTTAAACTTAAATCTTGACAATTAGAAGAATGATGAGAGGGGAATTTAAAAGCTTCTGTTGTAATTTGCTTATTAGGAACTCTTCAATCACACAATTTCACACCAGAAGGGAAAATGGATGAAATATTTTGGAATGTAGGAATGAAGATAGTGGGTAATTGCCTGTTAGTAAGATTGATTTTACTTTAACTATTAGATTTTGGAATTGATATTAAATTGTAGATTTGGATGGTGTGGCATGGGGAATTTCAAGGGAATTATTTATTTAGGTGTTTAGCTTAGAAGAGTGTGTGAAGAAATAGCTGGGTTTGAGGAATAGGAAGTCAATGGCGTGGTTTAGTGGATTACTACATGTAAATACTTGAGAAGTACTAGGTAAATTTTTATTGGGTGAATGAGTTATGTTTATTTGATGTTTTTTTAGGTTTTAATTGATTGTGTGGAATTGCATTATAAGAGATAATTATTGAGGTAAGTAGCTATACTCTTAAATGTTTTTAAAGTAAATCGATAGATTTAAATAGGTTTTGTCTAATTTTGATTTATTTGTTTGTTTATTTATTTATTTCTTAGAGAATGTCTTTCTACTAAATATTTTTAATGATGAAATGTGATGATTTGTGGGTCAAACATAATATTTTTATTTAAGTTTGAGATGAGATTGTTGCCATGTGGAGGTGGTTAATTTAAATTTGTTTTTCTCCAATAGTATTGAAATGGTTATTTTTGGAATGGTTTTTTTGTTTATCCTGGCTGTATGATTAACCTTTGTAAGGGTTGAGTTGTTGATATTGTGATAGATTTGAGATCTATGAATTGCGAATTGTGGATTGTGTACTGTGGACTATGGATTGTGTATTGTGGATTGATGATTAAGTATTACTGATTGTGAATTGTGGATTGTTACATAGCCATAGGGATGAAAAATAAAATATTATGGTTTTGAGGAAGGAAAGGTATTTTTATTGTTTCATTTTCAATAAAAATTCAATTTTAAATTTCTATGCTTGGTTGTGATGGATGGGTATATTACTTACAAAGTTCTTAAAGTCACGTTTTCAATTTTCATCTCATTTCAGGTGAGGAAGTTTGAGCATTGGGTTTTGCATGGAGATTGAGAGATTGTTAGAGTAAATTGGTAAAATTTTAACAATAGCTCAATTGGAAGCTTATTTGGTTTTATGAAATAAGATGTTAGTTACTTTATATTTTGGTTAAAATATTTGTCACGCCCCAGAACCCAAATCCGAGGCGCGACAGACGCCGTGCACTCGTGAGACGGATCCCACAAATGCACAAGGCTCGGAACTTACTGAACAAAATCGGTTTTGATACCATAAAATTTCCAATTAAAATCTAACTTACAAGAGCATGGAGAACATGTATCTAAAATCTATGTCAAATCTCAAGTGGCTAGCCTTTTATCACGTCACTCCCCTTGATTCCCGAGTCTCGGGGCACACTACCTGAAATGGTGGATGAGAAAAAC